TGTGCCATTGCTCTTTTACTTCAAGCAGTAATGAGCATACCACCAGAAATCAGCAAATGAGTCAACAGTATCCTGCAGCAAATTAATTAGGAATTGGTACAGTATGGAAAACTAGAGCATCCTTCCAGGATTTCAGATGCATCATTGTTTCCTGCTGCACGAGTGAACACAGTCAGTTTAGTAGGCATTCCTAAATGGGAATGCTCAGGCATCTGAAGATGGAATTGATAGGAGAGAGCAAGTCTACTGTGGAGACAGCTGGAGTACTGGGTAAGAAAAAAAATCCCAGTTTTCCCATTTAATGTCTGGAGGGTTTTTTTTAATCACAGGGGAGCAGAACCTTATCTAAACATTTTCTTCTTGACTATAATAGGACATTAAACCAATAACTTTGCAAAAAATAGTGGAAATATATGTTAGCTCTTATTCAGGAATTTAGCTGCAAGGAGCTACCCCCTTTTCCTTACAATTTTTATCAGTGAACATATTTTGGAGGCAGATGACTATATAAATTAGTTTGTTTTCATAAAAATAATCACCTGGGAGGGAGCTTCCTTAGCCCTCATTACAAATGCTTTATATTTTAAAGCTCTTTACCAGAGCTGTCCGGGTTCACAATCTGCCTTTTCCTTCCTGATTTGGAGCAGTCATCTGATTCCAGATTGCACGCACACTATGTCCTAATTGCCAGTGTAGGAGCAATTACTCTTGCATACAATGAATAAATGAATATTGTATTTAAACAGAATAATTTGGATGTGGAAGCATTCTGTCAGACTGCCTGATGTTGGTGCAGTAACTTCAGAGTTATGACATTGCAGCTCAAATCCATTCTCCAGATTAGGCAAAGGTATTCTGCGTTTCCTGAGTCCTTGGTTCAGGCTCCAGTTGAAAGAGAATCATCTATGTGTTGTTTTGCACACTCCTGTCTCAGGTCCCATAAGCACTGAGAGGCAAGAAAAGGCTTGTTTTGGTAATTATGACATAGCTTCAGGATATGCTAAAGCTTTAAGCGACACAACAGTGTCTTTTTTGGGTGTTTCTGAAAACATCAAGTGACAATCTAGACGCATAGGGACTTTTAACTCTGTAGAATCAGGTACTTTGAAACTTCAGGTTGTCTGATGTTAACTGAACATAAAAACTGCACTGGCATCTTCCTCTAAGGAATAGAAGAATTTTCTGAAGAATGTGACGTTGAAGTTCCTCCATGGATTTAGGTTCTAGTCCTAAATTTTTCCATAAAATGTGTTATGTTTTTTAATCACAGCCACTTGGAGCAATCCCCTTCCTTGAGATATGCTCACTCTTGCTCTTATGTTTCTTCTTCCTAAAGAGAGTCTGCATAATTTCATAATTAAATAATGTCAAGCTAAAACGTACTTTTTTTTCCTCCTTCCTTCTCTCTCTCCAGCTCTGCAGCAATACTCTAGCTCCACTGACTGATCTAAACTAGGAACTGGTGCCTTCTGGAAATGTACTTCCTTAGAAAATGTGTTCAGCTAAAATCTCTTCCAGGTACTGAGCCAAGCCCTGTGTGTGCTTGTTTTTTCTGCATGTGTGTAGTTTTTACTGACCTATTTTATGCATATTTCCATGAAATTTCACTGTTGCAGTTGCACCTTATTTTTACTTCATTTTTCATTGCTGATGTTATTATTATCACAGCACTAGCAAAAGAAAAACAAAGAGCAATTTTTTAAGAGAAAGCAGAAATACTGGTCTCTTTGAGAATTAATATGATCTTGCCAGCATGATGGGAAAACAGCAGCTTGGATGTTTGTCCACAAAATCAAACAACTTTACCTCTATGAATCAGTAATTCCAAACGAGGCACTTGGCCAAAACATTCTTTTCTTCCCACTTTCTCCACTTCTGATAAAGTGAGGTCACTGGTTCATGTTCAACTAACTTGATTTCCTTATTAGATAACACCAGTTTATCCTTGACTGCTCACAACAGGAACAGCGTGGGTGTTTTGAAATGCACCAAAGTTTATATTTCTGAGGCTCATCCACATCTTTGGACGTAATTTAGGTTGTTCAAAATTATGCACATTGTGTTACGATATTTATTTGATGGTATATGAGCATAAGTACCGAAAAAAAAATATAAATCCCATCTGATTATTTCTATAGTAACATTTAATACCCAGTTACCTCATTTTAATAAAAAATTCCAGCAGCTTTCAGAGGGTCAGTTTTTCTCAGATGCTTTGAGGAAGTTGGCACAAATATTTTCTACAAGCTCCAGAAAACGAACCCAGTGTATAGAAATTGAAATGTCTAATCTAATCTGTTGAGGGATCTGCACCACACGCATTACCCTGACATTTAAGGTCTCATAGTCAGTGACCGGTTAACCAAATCTGTCACTGTGACAGACATGTATTTCTACATGCTGTGCCACAACTTAATCTTGCAGACACAGTTTAGGTGAAGTATATCGTAGCAGAGCGACTCAGAGTCTATAATATCTTAATGAAGAAATTTCCAGACTGGTATTAAAACAGATTGCTTTTGATTGCCATATTTGCAATATAGCATGTGAATTTGTCTACTAAGCTATACACAGCAGATCAGCTGTTATGACTGCATTATGCTAGTTATCGTTACAATTACTATTATTATTATGTGTTGTTACAACCCTCCACCTCTTCCCTTTTCCTTGATACCAGAGTCTGTGACAATGACTTTCTGGCAGTGAAGGTTATTTTGGAACTGTCTGCTTAGTGACACATCTGAACTTCTAAATTATCTTTTTTGATACCTTGTGATTACAATACATCACACTGTAAATCTTCTATGACTCAGAATGTTATCTGATATCTCCAGATGAAATGGTGAGGTATAATGTTGTTCATAACTCCAGTGTATTTATTACTTTTAATTAGCTGAGGAAGAGAAGGAATTTCTCTATCATGCTTTGATTTTTTTACCCTCTTGTTTTCCCCTGAGGTGCTGTTGGCTTGACAAGGACAATAATTTTTATGTTGAACCTGTCTACAGCTTTCTGTGTCAGCTCTTTTCACCTGCTGCCCCCAGCTTGGCCTGGCATGTGGGGTCCCAGATCTGACAGGTGGGGTGGTACATGCACACATTGCCATTTATAGCTTTCTACAAAGCAGGTTTTCTCCATCAGAGAAAGCTCTCGCTGTTGGGTTAACACTTATCCTTTGGTTATAAACAGAGAAACATTTCTGTAAGATGCAGACTTTGTGGACTCTTCTGAGTGCATCTAAATCCACTTGGACAGGCTAGTGGAGCACTAATGCTACTTCCATCCACCCTGGAGCACTGGGGATGTCCAGGGGATTAGGTTCTCTTCACATTTCATCCTTCCCCTTTTCTGCATTTGGTTTTATTAGCCAGCACCAGGCTTTCTTAAACTGGTGTATTTGTTTTGCTTCTAAAAGCTTTTCTGCCATCCCCCAACCAGTAATCCTAGCCCTTTGAAGAAATAACCCATATGCTTTTTATGGAGAAGATGACATTTCTGCCACCGTGACTCAGCAGTAATTCTAATGTTTTTTATGCAGCATTTATTAGGATGTTTCAAATCTAGTGCTGTAACCTCAGCAATCCCTCTGCAGCAAGAAGGACTAAGTCACGATGATTGGGATCTTGGCAGTAGGTCCAGAAACACATTGAGAATTGGTGTTCAAAAGTAAGTTCTTCCGACAAAGCGTACCAACCCTCTGAAATCTAGGTTACTGTGTTCCACGCTTCAGGCTGGAAATTTTAATGCCAGATCAATGTGATCCGCTAATGGGTTCAATAAGGCCCCTCAAAGCTTTAATATTCTGAACAAAACATACCCTCCCCCCCTGTCTGCAATTACTGCCACTGATGGTGATAACACCCCTTCTGAATCTAAGTAAAAGCAGCTGAGACATTTGTGACACTTGGGGCAGACTTCACAGGAGCACTTTAAGCATTGCTTGAAAGAGGTCTTAATGCACTTAATATATTTTGAGGTTGCAAAGAACAGCATTAAATAATCACATAGGGGAGAAAGAAAGCTTGTTAAAAGCTCCTCAATTTATTAGACACAGCTTGATGCACAGACTCCCATTCTTCTGCGACAGCATGGTGTGCCACTTGATGGAAATCATGAGGAAACAGTTATATAAAGGGCTGGCTAGCAGTAAATGGAGGCAACATTTATAAAACTCTCTTAAAAAAGGAAACAATCAGCTTGATGGACCTAAACCCTCTCCATAACTTCATGCCTTGGTATCCCATGAATTACTTAAGATGCTTTCAGTGCCTTATTTCCCATAGCTGGGTTGCTTGCCCAGGCCATTTGTTTGTCCCACTCACAGCACCAGGCTTAGGATGCACGCCCCCCACCCCCCCCCCCCCAACCCCTCCCTCCCCAGTTGTGGGGCTGCCCTGAGGGAGCCAGTCTGCAGCGCTCCTTGCCCTGGAGTGTGTTTGTTTTCAGCCACCCCCCTGCCAAGTTTCTGTGGTTTTGCTTGACTGGAAGCTGAGCTAAGAGCTCCCCACGGATGTCCACATAGACAGTGAGAAAAGTACCAGGCTCAGGGCAAGGGAGAGCATTGGGCCACTGCTTTGGCATCCCGGACCCAGTAACCAGCCCTCTCTTTCCTACTAACGAGTTTCCAGGAAAAGGAAGAAAAAACAAAGTGAAAAGGAAGAAAAAAACTGAAATAAAGAGAAAGAAACTGAAAAGAAAGAAAACCGACAGAAAGAAGTGAGATTAAAAAAAAAAAAAAGGAAAACCGAGAAAGGGAAGAAAAGAAAGAAAACCCCCTTGAAAAACAGGCCCGTGCCAATCTAGCGGCAACAGCAGGGCAAGCCCGGCGCAACGCTCTAACCAGGATATGCCACCGCCCCTGCCCTGCCAGGGCGAGTGAGGGCGCGGGAGCGGGTACGGGCCCAGCGCCGCAGAGGGCGCGGGGCGGGCCGGCAGGCGGGCCTGGGCGGAGGGGCGGGCACAGGGCGGGCTCCCACGCAGGCGCGGTGGGAGCTCCAGGCGCCCCACGCGGGCGCTCCCAGAGCCTCGGCGGCGGCGCCCGGCTCGGTAGTGAGGGTGTCGCGGGCTGGGGCAGGCGGGAGCTGGAGCTGGAGCACCGGTACCGCCGAGGTGCCACGGGAGAGGGGCGGCAGCTGCCGCTGCGCTCCGCTGAGCCCAGCCGCGCTTAGCCCAGCCTCTGTGCGCTCTGTCCCCTGCCCGCCCCGCTGCCATGGGGTAGGGGGCGGCGGAGGCGCGGGGGGACGCCGTCAGGCTGCGGCCGCCGGTGGAGCGGCTCCCCGCGGTGCTGGCGGAACGAGGGGCAGCCGCGGCGGGACTGGCGCGGGAGGCCGGGCAGGGGGGCTGCTCCGGTGCGAGCGCGGCGGCAGGCGGAGAGATGATCGCGGAGTTGTTGAGCAGCGCCCTGGGGCTCGCCCTGTACCTCAACACCCTGAGCGCCGACTTCTGCTACGATGACAGGTAGGGCGGGGAGCGGCGGGGCTGGGCGGGTGAACGGGGGCTGCCCACCTGCCGGGAGCGGGGCGGCAGCCGCCCCACTCGGGGCACCGAAGGCGATGCCGGAGGGTCGTGGCCGTTCCTCGGCTCCGGGTGGCCGCGGCGGCGCCGGGGCTGTGACAGCTCCCTCGCGGGCTCGGTTTCCTCCAGCCCTTCCTTCCAAGTGGGACGGGACCGGCTGCTTTAACTTAGCGTGTCCCGGGTTGCTCCCACGAGGGCGGTGGCACAGGGGCGCTCGGCCGCCTCCCGGCCCCCCACCCCCCGCGCCGGGACCGAGCCCCGAGCGGGAAGTTGCTGTTCGCTGTCGGGCTCCTCCGGACGGCTACGGGGACCGGAGCCCCTCTGCAGGTGGGCAGGGGAGCAGCCGGACTGGGCTGGAGTGGGCTCCCTACCTGTTCCTTTTCTGGATGTACCTGCATTCAGCAGCAGCTGGGGAAGGGTCCGATCTGTACCTTTTCCGGTGACTTAATCTTATCACAATTAAAACAGATGCATAATTAAAACGTATTAGGGAGAGCAGGATGCCTGACTAAATTAATTAACCGTCCTGGAGTGATTCATGCTCCCTTGGAATTAACTCGTCCAAAAGTGAGCGCGGATTGACTTTGACAGCTTTTCACCAGCCTCCCCCCTCCTTGGTGGAGAGCGGGCTGCCGGGCAGCTTCACCGGCTGCCGAGACACCCCGGCTCGGATCCTCCCCGGTGGCGGCAACCGGCCGTCCCGCCGCTTGCGGGACGGGGGGGGCGGATCGCGGGGGGGAGTGCTTGAGTTCCTCTGCATGTGAACTGTGACGGGGCCCAGCTTCGCCGCTCCTGTCTGCGGTACCGGCTAACTCCCCGAGCTGCTGTCAAACGGGGTTCGTGCCTTGGAGCCTCACTTGTGAGAGGAGGAACGCGAGGAAGCACGGGGAAGGGGGGGAGGTAGGGGCGTTGGGGGGTTGTCACGGATGCGTCTGAGCGGAAAAATGTTGCTGGATGAGCTGAACTTCCCGGCGCGCTGGTGGGATGCTGAAGGGTCAGTTATGTCTTTGATTAGGCATTTGCCTTGGGAAATAACCTGCCTGTCCTGGAGTCAATTAGTTACTAAACTTGGAATTTTCCTTCCTTAAGCTGTATTACGGTGCACCTGCCGTGTTTAAGGATCTGTCACATCTTCCAGAATGCCGTCACCCTCCAAACCCCCTTTGTTTTCGAGGGTTGCTACTATTAAACCTATTAATGCTGGGAGTAAATGCCAAGTGTTAGTCGTGCTCTAGGTCTCCGGCTGGGAACAGTGTCGGCTGCAGAATGTGGTGATTCAGGCTTCAGGTCATTTACATGTGCTCGAAGACTTGCGAAGCAGTTAAGTGTTTTAAGGTTTTTGTGAGTCTTCCAATTATCTACAATGATTTTACTTAAACCTATTTTAGCATTTCAAAGCTTCATTCACAAACAGTAAAAGAAAAAATATCTGCCACTGTCCTGAAATGCAAGGTCTGAGTGGGATCAATAGCCGGTAATGAATATTTTGACACACTGACACTATTTTAAACGCTTGTTGTAGTTAAGAACTGCAGGAGTTGTGGAATATTTACATAACCCTAAGTAGCCTGTGTTGTAATATTTAGGCAAAACTGGGTTGTTTAAGGTCATGCTTATAAAAGCCTGTGCTGCAGGCCAGTTCGAACTACTTGGTGTTATTGATGTGAAGGTCAAGGTTAATTTTGATCTCACCTGAGTGTGCTCCACTGCAGGTAAAACCCAGTGATATCCGAGTGTCATCTCCGGAAGGGTGGAAAAGGACCATGCACTGTCTTCGCTAGTACTTATCCCAGACTATAAGAGGTGTTCTAAAATACTGCTTTATGTGTTTACCTCCTAACTATATAAAGTACTTATCATCCGCAGCTAAGATTTAGGCATTCACTGGAGTGCTCTGAAAGCCAGTTAATGGCACTTCTGTGCGCAGGGTCATCTAATTAGGATGTTTTTCAACTACAGCACTGGAAGGGGCAAAGCAGAAATGGCTGTTGCATGCTAGTAATTGTTGAACTAGAAAGGGTTATCTATTCAAAGAGGCAGGCTATCAGACCCAAAGTGTTCTTTCAACTGTAATCACAGAATCTCACTGCCCTGCAGGAGCTGGCTTGAAACACTAGAAAAGGAGGTTGATGCTGGAGCTGTAGGACACAGCCCTCCATGTAGGAGATGGATCATGGTACTAACTTTAAGTGAATCAAGATTGTGCATTTAAGCTAGGAGCCCGCAATGTTTTGTTTCAGGAGAGCAGCACATTGCCATAGCTTTTCCTGCTTCCTTTGCCGTTATATTGAAATTACATCAGACTGTTCTTTTTTTAATATAGTGATCAAGCTTACTATATAAAGGATATCTGTAATTGCTTTTGGTATTTTTTTTTTTTTTTAATGTAGGTTGGGTAAGATTAAATGGCATCATAAAAACTTCTTATAACAAAATCAATTTCCCAATGGTAAAACTTAATATTTTAGCAGCAGCACGGCACTGGACCAAGGTCTGTATGGACAGTGATATAACAAACTTGCTTGTAGCCATGGCTTTATGACTCTATATCAAAGGATTCAATATTTTATTTCCCACCCTTCACCCAATTAAACTGAAATTGAATGAATTTAAAGCCTGAGGAAGTTGAATAAGAAAATGTATACATTCTTACTTTTCATCATTAGTCTGCCTTACTTGTTTCAGGCTAGACAGCTACATGGCATGCACATAATCAGTGCAAACGTGATCTTTTTGATCAATTGATTTATTGATTACTTTGAATAAAAGTGACAGCCTCTAAACCCAAGAGCCAGTGTAAAGAAGAAATGCTGCTTTATTATGTTGTTTTTCTTTTTCTCTAGACCTAGAAAACACAAACTTTTGCCACCCTGTTCCCTGCTACTGTAATTCTCAGACAGCTGTGGTATTTCCTTGATACATGTGAGGATTATTAGGTGGAAATTTCCCCCCCCCAACTCATATCCTCCTTGTTCATCTAGGAACAATAAATATATTTGTTCCCTATTTTTGCTTATTCTATTTGAAGCTGGATGCAGTAATCCAAAAGAAGAGATAAATGTGGAAAGGGGATGGGGGGAATATTTAGGTGTTGCTTTAATGTCGCAGAGAGCTCACACGGCTTGTTAATAAAGGTTTATTTATTGCTGATTCCAATCCAAGATTCCAGTCATCTTGGAACTGATAATAGGGTGTAGGGAGAAATGGAGTTTGCATTCCTGTGGATATGTTGAAGATTTTCCTTGTTGCACTGCATTAAATACAGCTTTTTCCCAGATTAAGGGGGGCTAATCTCTGCACACTCATTTTGTGTTTATGCTGATACCTACCAGCATTACAGGAGGGAAACCCATTGCTTCAATTAGGCTTGCACATCTGCGTAATTATTTTTCCTTGCCACTTAATATCCCCCCAAAAAGTAGGCAATTTGACCTCTGGGTGCCATGCACTGAAGTTGTAGTCCTTCATGTGACCTGTGCTAAATAAGACGGGTCATTGCCAGTTTGTAGCTGGGGCGTGGAAGATTTAGTGCTCTGTGTATCTGAGGTCATGTGTTGCTACAGAGAATATGTCAAAAGCAACTAATCCATTGAGGTGTTCCTTTCTTTTCTGAAATGTCAGAAGCAAGGCATATTATAAGGAGAGAATTGGTAGGAATCTTTAACCTTGTGTAATGTATTTTCTCTGTGGCACATTGATGAAATTGGTGCTCTGGAAGATATATATGTATTTGTCTAATCTCTGTAAGGACTGTTCCGTGAGATTTGCTAGCACTGTTCAACTTTCTCTAGCTTGTGCTGCATTTTATTTAGCAGGCCTGAATGGGGCAGCCTTGCTGATTGTAGAAAATCTCCAGCAGACTTGTTTCTAAGTTACAGGGTAATATTGCAAGCTGTGTTAAAGAAATCCTAATAAATGCCTTCACCCTGTAGTGTCAGACTTGCATCATTTAAAAACAGGCTGAGCCCATACGCATTCAACAGTACCTCTGTTGGGTCTGCCACATGAGATTTAATCTAGCAAGTGACCCAGATACGTGCACTAGAAGAACAAGTATAAATACACTGGGGAAAATTGCTTGCCATCTGTCTCCTTGTTGTGTGCATATATTTGATTATTAATTTATATCTGCAATTTTTTTATGGCCCCTTTTTGTCATCTAGTTTCAGTTCTTCAGCTCCAAGTACACCTCTTCAGTAGCTTCAGTTTGCAGTTGTCGCCAGTCGTCTGAATTACAGTAGTGAGGCTGGTGGTTGGAAAAAGTGGGGAGATGGGGACTTGTATGCTTTCTCTGTGGTGTCTTCCCTTTGTCACTCCTGTTGTGTCTTCTGCATGCTAATTTCAAACTACTGTAAAGATAATTTGTTTGTGAATCGGGGACTTTAACATGTTGATAAAGAACAGCATAACCCAGAGAAGTTGCCTGAGTAACTGGGGCCATGTAGTTTTCAGGTACTGTATTGTAGTATTAACCAAATGAACCAATAACTGGTTATCTAATGGGGTGAACCTGGCACAGCAATGTTCTATTAATATGATACCAGTTCTGTTCTGAAATAATCTAAGAATATATTTGGCTTCTGATTCTAAAAGCATTGCTACATAAAAGGTTGTGCTGAAGGAAAGACTGTGATCAAAATGTGAAATCTTGGTTTCATCAGGATAATGGTTTTGTTTCTCTTTTTTTCTTAGTGGAGATGCTGTATGTAGTATAGAATTTTTTGGAAGCAAAAGAAAAATTATGTCCCTGTAGGCTTTATTTTAAGATTCTTGTGCATATATAGCACTAAACCATGTCACTTCTGGTAGCTGGTTCTGGGAATAAATTCATGACTGTTAGCAGACGGAGAGTCTCCCTGAGTCACCGACAGGATGCGCCTCATCTGCAGGAAGTTCATCCAGCACACAATGGAGTTACAAATTCATATGATCCACTTTCTCCA